AGAGAGAGACAGAGTTGTGACTTGAGACTTGACGACATTGGATCCAGACTTGACATTTGGGATTCAGACATTCCGACGAGGGACTATTTGGGCTTGTGCCGAAGACTTGAGGTTGACGACATTCCCATCTTCCCCCTCCTCTTCGTCTATCCCCTTCCTCTTCGTCTGTGTATGGTATGGGCTGGCGCTGTCTTCTTGTGTGAAGCGCCAGACCCATTCACACCTTGTAACGATGATGATGATGTACGTTCAGGGCTGCATTACAACATTGATTGTTCGGATCACTGGTATCTAAGTCTTTCGCTGTGTTATCTTGTACTTTGTATTGAAAGGTCGGTTCTTGTTCTGGTCTGCACGTTACAGTATGCAACTGCCTGCCTCCTGACTGCCTCCGACTGCCTGCAGTTGCAGGGCGGGGCAGTCCAGGAGGCTGCTCTTGCCAATGCCAAAACGAGCCAGGGCCTGGCGCTGCAGCTCCTGCTGAGGCTGTCGTGGGAACAGGCCAAAAATAGCCTGTTCCTAAAACCCTGGTTTGGTGCCTGAATGTCATGGCAGGTCGATCTTATGAGGGCCCGAAAGTGGCCCTCCGTTTCAGGCTGAAAAGACTGAGGGCCTGGATGGCCCTGTTTTAGGCTGAAACGACATAGGGTCTGCAGGCCCTCGTTTTCAGGCTTTCAGGCTGAAACGACACGGGGCCTGTAAGCCCTTGTTTCCAGGCTTTTAGGCTGCGAATGCTGGTCGGGCCCTGCAGGCCCGTGTGGCTGCGCAGCATGCCACACTCTACCACCAGCCTCACTCTTCCTCATCCTCACATGCACGCACATACGAGGATCACCCTGAATGTCCACGCTGCACAGACACACACACACTCTGTACACCCTGTCTGCACCAACAGCTGGGCGGCTATGGCCGCCGTCGTCTTCCTCCTCCTAGCTATGGCCGCCGGTGTCTCTCTCTCGTTGGTTCGCTATGGCCGCTGTCTTCTTCACAGCCCACTTCTTCTCCGGGCACCTGCAGTCCTCCACGCACAAGATACCAAGGCAGCTCTTCCACATGGCACACGGGCGAATGAATGAATGGCTGGACGCTGCCTCTTTATTTATACTTCTTCGGAGGTACCCGGGCCTGCCTCAAAACATGTGGGCCTGGGCCAAAACGTGTGGCCCAGGGAGCTTCCAGACGTTTGGCCTTCTGGGCCAAAACGTGTGGAACCCACAGCGGGGTCCAGAACCTTTCCCACGTGTAGCCCCTAACCCTGGTACTTGCTGACTGGACTGGCCTACAGGGACCTACGACCTTCTAGAGCCTACAGACTTACAGACAGACTCTAGGCCTCAGTAGACTCAGATAGAGACTTCTAGAACAGACCTTCTATAAGCCTAACGGTAACAGACCTAACTCCTAATCTACAGACCTAGGGATCGAGTCTCACACAGATTGCTGGGCCTATGTACAGGGTACAGGGTAGGTCTAGGGATCGAATCTCACTCCGCACACAGGCTCAATGTACAGGGTTTGTGCACAGGTCTAGGGATCAAATCTCACTCAGCACACAGGTTCAATGTACAGGGTTAGGACACAGGTCTACGGGTCGAATCTCTGTGTCTGCAATGCCGGGTCAACTGGGTGAAACCGTTTCACTCCCGCCGTCCTACATTCGGGGTCCTCTGAGAACACTCCAACTCAAGGTAGGACCTTTGCCCTTCCTTTCCCTCTCATAGGTGTGTACTATGTCGGGGGCAGTTTCTAGCAGCTCTGTTCTTGTAAATCATCGGTCGTCCTCGGGTACCTGGTATGCGAACCTAACCTTATACTGTTTTTGTGGACGATCTCGACCTCCTGTCCTGAACACGTCCTCTTCCACGATGTGATCTATATCATATGCACCATCCATGTCTGGCGGAATCATCAATCTCCTGGGAGGGCATCTGTCAGACCTGGTGCAAGGTAACAACTTAGACGCATGGAAGACTGGGTACGTGTGGAGGTGTGCTGGAATCTCTATGGTATATGACGGGCCGTCCTCTCCTCCTTTGACTTCTAGGACAGGCCATGGTCCTCTATACGCAGGTAAGGGCTTTTGTGAGATGTTTTCCTCTGGTGCGAACTCCTTCGACTTGACCCAGACTAGATCGCCTACCTGAAAATGTGAAGGTCGGCGGTGCTTGTTAGCTTGCTCTATCATCTAGTGCTGGGCTTTTCTCAGATTGTCTATGACCTTAGCGACTTCCTGCTCGTGCCGCAACGCAAACTCTCGTGTGTCGGGTGGTAGTCTTTGTATCTGGTCCCGGTTTGGTCCCTCAAACGGTCGACTAGGCCTAAAGGACTTATGTAGCTCATTAGGAGTTCTGCAAGTAGCTAGGTGGACACTATTATTGTAGGCGCTTGCTACTTTGGGAAGCTTCTCATCCCAATTTATATGATCAGGTCTAATATGCATTCTGAGTAGCTGCTGCGAGATCTTATTCATCTGCTCTATCTGGCCGTTAGTCTCTGGGTGTCGTCCTGACGACATCAACAACTTAGACCCATAGACTTTCATCAGATCCTGCCAATTCTGACTAGTGAACCGCGTGTCCCTATCACTAACTATGGACAGCGGCATGCCATGCTCGCTTACCTAGAAGTCGAAAAACTTACTAATGACTAAGTCTGTACGGGCCTCTGAAGGCAGGGGAACAAATACTGCATACTTGCTAAATCTATCTACTATGACCATGACTTCTTGTCGTGCCTACTTTTGACCCCCGTATCCATGAAGTCAATGGAAACTGAATCTTTGGGTCCTAATGGAATAGGCAAGGGTCTAAGAAGACCTAGAGGGGCTCTGGTTGTAGTCTTATTACGCTGACACACCTTGCAGTTGCGCACATACTCTATGCAGTCTGCTTTCATTCCTGGCCACGTGTATCGACACATAGTCTGTCAGCGATGTTGGTCTTCTCGAACAATAGCCCGTTCGTGGTTCGGTAGTGTGGCTCACTATCTGGGGCTTCCTTTACTCTCTTCAGCAGTTCACTGTAGATCGGGTCCTGTGCATAGGCATCTCTTACTTCATGCTGCAGATCGGCCCCTATGTCTAGATAGTGCACTATCGCGACGACGTAATCAGCTCTCCTACTCAGAGCATCGGCTACCACGTTATACTTTCCTTTTACAGGCTTTAACTCAAAGTCAAATTGGTCTATCTCAGCAGCCCATCTAGTCAACTTGGTCGTCATGTTGGCCTGTGTCTATAGCCATCGAAGAGTCTCGTGATCAGAATATACCTTTAAGTGTCTCCCAAGCAGGTAGTGTTTCCAGTGATCTAAGGCCTGCCTGAGAGCGTAGAGTTCCCTCTCATGTGTCGATGCTGCAACTTTCTCTGAGGGCAGCTTGGCTGACATGAACTCTACAGGCCTGTAACCGTTGCCGTCATCTTGCTGTAGGACAACACCTATGCCATACTGACTAGCGTCTGTAGTGACAACAAATGGCAGTGACGGGTCAACAACTTTAAGGACAGGGTACTCTATTAGAGCCTGTTTTAATTTCTTGAAGGCTGACGTACAATCCTTGTCCCACTTCCAGATGGTCTCTTTCTTCAGCAACCTACGAAGGGGAGCAGCGATCATGGAGAAGTTCCTCACGAACTTCCTATAGTAGTTAGCCAGTCCCAAGAATGAGCGCAACGTTGTCAGCATCTTCGGAGTTAGCCAGTCTCTAATGGATGCAATCTTGCTGTCCTCAGGTCGTATGTCGTCGCTGTCTAGCACATGGCCTAGGTAAAGGACCTTTGTCTTGGCCCATTCGCACTTCTTTGGGTTAATCTTAAAGTTAGACGCTCTCAGCTTGCTTAGAATCTGCCGTAGATGGCCCTCACGTTCCTCGAGGGTCTTGCTGAACACTAGGATGTCGTCTAAATAAACAACGACGAATCTATCTAATAACGGTCTAAACAAGTCGTTCATGCAGCACTGAAACATAGTCGGTGCATTAGTACGGCCAAACAGCATCACTATGAACTCGTAATGCCCATACCTTGTCCTGAACACCGTCTTGTACCGATCATCAGGATGCACCTTTATCTGATGGTACCCCAATTTCAAACCTATCTTTGAGAAGTACCTGCATCCCTGCACGCGATCTAGCAAGTCATCTATACGTGGCAATGGCTCTGCATTCTTAATGGTGATGGCATTCAGTCCCCTGTAGTCTATACACATGCGTAATTCTCCCTCTTTCTTTGGGACAAACAAACTGCCCCCTTAGGCGTTCTGATGTCAGGTTCTATCTCTATACGGTGCTGGATCGGTCTGGGCACTACTCCTGAAGGTGCTTCAGATAAGTCCTTGTACTCTTCCAGCAGACGGGCTATAGTACGACGAATTTTCTCCTCTTCCTTGGGCTGGTCAGAAATCGGCCTAACGTAGGCTACAAACACCTACTCTTTGAGCTGCTCCTCTCGCACAGGTGTGGCGAATGCAGGAGCGCTGAGGCTGCAATGGGCGAGGGGATTATCTACCCCGGACTCATGGAACGGGCGGACTTCTTGACTTCGCCTTATGCCCTAGGGAGCTTGCACTCGTGCTCTCTAAGGTGCAATGTGGCTCCTGCTGCCCCTCCCCAATCTGTGCCTAGGACAATGTCGAAAGGGAGACTCTCTTCTACGAGGAGGGTCAAGGAGTGCAATACCTTCTCTACCTTACCATTGTTCTCAAGGCGAAAGTAGGCGTGGACCCCCTCAACATACTCTTCAACGCGCATCCTACTGTTGTCGGCAAGGATGCTGACTACAGGTTCCTCTAATCGTTGGACTTTCAGATTAAGCTTCAACTTCTCCAGCGCTCGACGACTAATATAACTCCTAGTCGCCCCACTGTCTATCATGGCTCCTACTCTAGCTCTAAATATCTCTACATCTACGAGGATCAGTTGTCCTTTACTATCCTTCTTCATCTTGGCCCAGGCTTGCCTCCTCTCTCTCAACTCCTCAGCTAAGCCTGTGAGGGAAGCGTCTAGAGAGACCCTAACACAAGCAGTCTCTGGACCGCCTACTAGACGCCGACCTGCAACCTCTGCCATGGAGATATGTGGAGTGGGAGACTCTACTTCGAGGGCACGCTCAAATCCACATACTCCTAGGGTAGGGGCAGTTGCGACCCTTACCGGCGGCTGTCTTTTGCTGCCCTAGTCGCAACACGGTCCCTATACTTAGGACATAATTTTATAATGTGGCCTGGGTCCCCGTAGAATACGCACTGAGAGCTATTGATGCGTTCTTGCCATACGTTTTGCTCTATGCCCAGATCATCCTAGAGTCGGCCCTCGGGACGGCCTGGGTGCCACCATCCTTGTCTGGGAGGTGACCGACTAAAACGCGGACGGTTAGACGGGGGACCTCCCCTTCCTCCCGCTTGGCGGTTGCCATTGTCGCCAACCCCCTGGCCGCCCTGTCCTCGGCCACCCGGGGCCCGGCCGTTCTAGTCGGACCTTTGTCCTCCTCCTTGCGGCCTCCCTCCGACCGCGACAGGTTCTCCCCTGACCAGTGCTATTGTCCTGCTCCTCTAGTCCCCACTCAATGGCAGAGTAGGGAACCTAGTATTAGACTATCTTTGGCCTTGATTTGGTCGGAGATGGTGCGTCCCCTTCACGTTTTTCCCTTTGACAAGTCCTTGTGCTAGAACGTGGTAACCGACGATGCTTGGGCGGCAAATGCAACTGCCTCCCGACTAAGAGTATCATAAGTCATGCCCTGCTGATTCTTCTTCTCGAAGAAGTGTCCCTGAATATTCTCAAGCAGGGCACGATAGAAGAGGTTAAGGAGTTGGGCGTCGGTCACTCCATGCCTAGGGACCGCAATCAATTCGTCCATAGGGGACTTAAGCGCATGCACACTCCTCCACTGGCGAGTGTGTATCATTTGGAGTTTGTCAGAGGCTTTAAGCCCCCCCGTCACATCAGAAAATCTTTCCCTGAGTGATTTCAGAAACTCAAAGAGGGGCGTTAGTCAAGAATATGTGACCATATCGTTATCACAGTTTGCAGCGCGGGCTAGCGACCTAGCAAAGCTGGTCGCCTCATCTCGAAGAGCCTAGAAGGCCACCAAAACGTGGTCCTCAGGCGTGACTCCCTGTAAATAGAGATAGGAGTGCACATTGGCCTCCCAGTTATCGAAATCTTCCCCCTTCTTTCCACTGAAGGGTTCGGGGAAACGGACCCTGACTTTCTCACGGCGTGGTGGGGCTGGCTCCTCTTCCTTAGGAGTCGTTAACTTGGCGCCTTCAATGGCGCCCGTGCAAAACTCTTTCGTCTTACTAATTGCCAGGTGGACCTGGTCCACCAGGTACTTCATCATATCACGTGCAAAATCTTTAAACCCAGCACGTATCACATCTATCTTTACTTCTAAGTTGCGGATGTACTGTGTCTACTCACGATGTGCAATTAGTAAAGATTCCACACTCTCGGTCAGGGTATCGAGTTTAGTGGCTACCTCCGTCTCTTTCCTGATCTTCCCCATCCTAGTCTTCGCCGCCTTTAGATCTTTTTCTGCCCTTTCTGCCACTTCCAGACGGCTAACTCTTTCTTGAGATAGGGACCACTTCCATGCCCTCTGCTGCTCCTCCTCTTTCGCCTTTCTCCTCACCAGGTCCTTTTCTGCTTCTAACTCTCTCCTCGCTGCCTCTCTCTCTGCTTGGGGTATGGCCAACTCGGCCTCCCTATCTTCTCCCAGCTCCAAATGTGCGGTCCATTCTTATGTGGTCTTTTCAATCTCCTCCTCCTTGCTTGTACTGACTCCACCTCTTCTTCTTTCCAACGGTACTTCTTCTTCCACTTGCTTTTCTTCTTCTTCTTCTTTCTCCACCTCCGCTTGTATGGCTGTCATCTTCTCCTCCTGTTCCTTTGTCCATTTCTTCAACTCTTCCTCCATCTGCCTCGTCTTTGCCTCTTGCTCCTCCAGTAGGGCCAGCATCTTGGCCTGCTTAATCAGTTCCCTCTTCTCCATTCTCTCCGTCCTCTCTCGCAGGATAGCGGCAGCTCTCTCCTCTTGCTCCTTGCTGTAGGGGGTGGTACTAGTTCCAGACCTGAGGTCCACCATGGTGACGGTGCACAATCAACAGCAATTCCACGCCTCAACACGTAGACCAAACTGGTTAACTTCTATCGAGGGGTCTTGACTCACTACTCGGGCTAGACTTACGGTTCTATGACCACAATCACAGAGTCCTATTGACCTAGACAGATCTGACAGGGAGATATGACTGACTGACTTTGACAGACTTGACGTCAGCAAGTACCAGGGTGAAGGTGCACATCCACGGGGTAAGGGGATAGGCCAGGGCTTGGAGAGATGGTACCGGTAATCTTCTCGGTCCAGCTGGGTCGACGCTCCGGTCAACGGTCTTGGTCAACTTGCTGGTCAACGCTTGGTCAACTTTGGTCAACGCCTGGTCAATGCCTGGTTACGCTCTTGGTCAACCCTTGGTCAACACCCGGTCAACGTTGGTCAACTCTCGATCAACGTTGATCAACTCGTGGTCAATGTTGGTCAGCTCTCCTGGTCAACCTTCCAACCTTCCGGCTATGGTGGACCTTCTTCTTCTTCGTCAAAACCTTCGTCTTCTTCACCTCGGCTATGGCTGACTTCGTCTCCCTCTTCGTCACTTTCTTCTTCTTTCTCTCTGCGTCTATCTCTTTCTTCCTGCTGGTCGTCTCCTTTCCCCACTTGGCAGCTATGGCTGCCGTCCCCCCTTCTCTCTCTTTCTCTCTCTCTCTCCTTCTCTCTCTCTCTCGCTCTCTCTCTCTCTCTCTGCCGAGCTCCGGCTATGGTGGCTTCTTCCTTCTTCTTCGCTTGCTGCAGCTCCACCGGCATGGACAACGGGTACCAGCTCCGATACCAATGCAATCAGACTCGACTCTGGACTTGCTCACAACATGCACACATGAGAACCGATGGCAAACCAAACTCGTGAASTCAGAATCAACAACGAACTTGCTCTTAAACTCTGTTCAGAACAACTGTACAACTTGYGGCTMTGGCCGCCGAACACTGTCTCTACCACCAGCCTCACTCTTCCTCACCCTCACATGCACGCACGTACGAGGATCACCCTGAATGTCCACGCTGCACAGACACACACACTCTGTACACCTTGTCTGCACCAACAGCTGGGCAGATATGGCCGCTGTCGTCTTCCTCCTCCTAGCTATGGGCGCCGGTGTCTCTCTCTCGCTGGTTCGCTATGGCCGCTGTCTTCTTCACAGCCCACTTCTTCTCCGGGCACCTGCAGTCCTCCACGCACAAGATACCAAGGCAGCTCTTCAGCATGGCACACAGGCGAATGAATGAATGGCTGGACGCTGCCTCTTTATTTATACTTCTTCGGAGGTACCCGGGCCTGCCTCAAAACGTGTGGGCCTGGGCCAAAACGTGTGGAACCCACAGCGGGGTCCAGAACCTTCCCCACGTGCAGCCCCTACCCCTGGTACTTGCTGACTGGACTGACCTACAAGGGACCTACGAGCTTCTAGAACCTACGGACTTACAGACAGACTCTAGGCCTCAGTAGACTCAGATAGAGACTTCTAGAACAGACCTTCCTAAGCGTAACGGTAACATACCTAACTCCTAATCTACAGACCTAGGGATCGAGTCTCACACAGATTACTGGGCCTATGTACAGGGTACAGGGTAGGTCTAGGGATCGAATCTCCCTCAGCACACAGGTTCAATGTACAGGGTTAGGGCACAGGTCTAGGGGTCGAATCTCTGTGTCTGCAATGCCGGGTCAACTGGGTGAAACCGTTTCAGAAGGAAAGTCAGAGACTCAAGATGGATCGTGAAATTGCGGGAGCTATACAGAGAAGCAGAACATGCTTCATTGCACTAACACCCTGTCATTATTGCTATGTCTAGACTGAAAAGTTGTGCCAAGTATAGATATAAAAACAGGGCATTCTATTCCAGCGAAGATGGTAGTGAGAGCAAAGGACGCACAAGATCATCCATTCCAACACATGACAGAGCAGAACACAACCTTTTTTTTTTTTGAAAAAAAAAATGTGCCGGTGTGCTAGAGGGGGTAATATGAGCAACCTGACAGTCACTCCACTGCAGACGTACCTTTCTGTACTCAGGAGCTCTTCCTGGTTGAAGTAAGTACTGCATGCGCTCATCCTTGAAGTCCCACAGGAATGAGGTATGATGAACCCATCGCTGCTTTGTGATGGACTGCGCATTACCTCCAAACTTCTTGTCTCCGAACACATAGTCTGATGGCAGCAAAGGAGGTGCACAGATACCAAAACAAAGACCAAATACACCCGTTGGGGCTATCACACCTGTCAGCACCATTCCTTTGCCCGCTTCGTGACCAATGGCACACCACTTGACGCAGGTTAAATCTCATCTTCATGAATTTCAGACTTCCCAGCATGAAAGAAATGACAAGGCGAAAACTCTTTCTCACCCCCCTTCACCCCCCCCCTCTGTCTCTCTGTCTCTCTCTCCCTCTCTCACACACACACAATCAACTCTTATGTATTTATCAGGGTTGCATACCTGCCGACCGCCGACCACATGGCAGCGGACCAGTAGGGTCGACCGGTCGGCAGTCTGCCGATCTGTCAGAAAACGGCCATCCTCTGATTGTTTTTTCAAACCTGAGTTGGGGGCTGTACTGCGCTTGCTGAGTACAGCCCAAATCCACTGAGAAACTTTTGGGGATAGAGGGGGGTTAGGGGGAAATAGGGGGGGTTATAGGGGGGATGGGGGGGGTTATGGGGGCGTATACGGGTGGTGTAGGGGGTATTCAGGGGGGGTATGAGGGTGTTGGGGGACGTTTTGGGGGTGTTGGGGGGGTGTATGGGGGTGTTGGGCGTGGGTATGGGGGGTGGGTATGGGGTGTTGGTGGGGTTATTGGGGTTTATGGAGTCCCATAATTTTTTCATTTTTATTATTTTTTGGCGAGGATTGAGCCCTCAGGGAGCCCTTCTCGGGCATGCAAATGTTCTGGGCTGCGGCCCCCAGCAAGCCTCGTGCCCGCCCTACATGAGGGCGGGCCTCAATATCCACGTCAGGCCTGTTTTGGACATTTTTCATATGTTGGGTATCAGACAGTTAATAGTAAGAATGGACTGAAATGAAAAAACGAAATGGACAGTTAATAATTGCAGATCTAGAGATAAATAAAGTAAGAGTTGGAGGAATGATTGACAGTGGGTCAACGCACAACTATATTAGTAAGAAAGGATTGCAAAAACTGCGACTCGGGCCAAATCGTTAAACAGTTAGATGAGCCCGTAATGAGTAAGTTGGCTAATAGTACTATAACCGTAATGGATAGATATGTTGAAAGGGTCAAGATATACTTCCAGCTTGAAGCAAGGGGGAAGGTGGAACGTGTTCTCTACTCTCTGACTCTCTTGGTGGAAGATAATCTCCCTTTTGACATTCTTTTAGGCATGGATTGGGGTGAAGCTGCAAATGCGGATATAAAGTTAAGGGACCATGAGTGTTGGTTCCCAAGTCCACAGGGTGGAAAGAAGAAAATCCGTCTATTTCATGAATTTGGTAAGGAAAGCAGCTTAGCTCATTGTTGTATGAGTGCCCCCGCGTTCGCCCGCCATGTGAAAAGGTATAACTTGCATGATCAAGTTTTTGTTGCATATGTGCGCCCAATGAAGGAAGGTGAAGTCAAAGAAGAGGCAAAGTCCCCCGATATTGAAAAGATTTTGAAAGAATTCGCAGATGTGGCAGAGGCCACAAGCGGTGTGGTGGAACGACCAATCAAACATCACATTGAAATTGTACCAGGAAGTCAAATTCCTAAGGGGCCTATATACCGGATGTCACCCAAAGAATTAGACGAACTGCGAACCCAGCTTGATGAAATGCTGGAGAAGGGGTGGATAAGACCTAGCTCCTCGCCTTATGGTGCGCCAGTGCTTTTTGTGCCAAAGAAAGAAGGTGGGGTCCGCATGTGCATAGATTATAAAAGATTAAACGATATAACAGTTAAGAATGTTGAGCCATTGTCGAGGATAGACGATTTGTTGGATCGAGTGCAGGGTAGCAAATACTTCACTAAGATTGATTTGAAGTGTGGCTACCATCAAATTGAGGTAGAGCCAGAAGACCAATATAAGACTGCCTTTCGGACAAGGTATGGACACTATGAGTTCATTGTGTTGCCCTCTTACAAATGCAGCTGCAACGTTCCAAAGAACGATGAATGAGCTTTTTCGCGAGTGGCTTGATAAGTTAGTTGTCGTTTATCTTGATGATATTTTGATTTTTAGTAAAGATTTGAAAGAACATTGTGAGCACCTTCGACTCGTGCTAAATAAATTGCGTGAAGCAAAACTGAAGTTGAACCCCAAGAAGTGTGAGTGGGCTAAGCGTCAGGTTTTATATCTGGGGCATGTGCTTGATGGTGATGGAATCAAACCGGAAGACGCAAAGATTGCCGCAATTCGCGATTAGCCTAACCCCCGCACTTTGATTGAGTTGCGGTCATTCCTTGGGCTAGCCAACTATTATCGGAAGTTCGTTAGACACTTCATGATAATTGCTGCTCCCCTTCGCAGATTGCTAAAGAAAGAAACGATCTGGAAGTGGGACTCTGATTGTACGGCTTCATTCAAGCGTCTAAAGAAATGTCTAATCAATTATCCGGTTTTTAAAGTTGTTGATCCCACTTTGCCCTTTGTCGTCACAACCGACGTCAGTCAGTACGGGATAGGCGTTGTACTCTAACAAGATGATGGGAAGGATACAGGCATGTGGAGTTTATGTCCCGACGACTGCCTAATGAGAAGGTCGCCGCTTCTATGTATGAGAGGGAGTTGTTTGCTCTCCGAGAAAGCCCTGGATCATTGGTGACACTATCTCTTAGGATGCCACTCAAATCATGAGACACTTCGCTGGCTTAAAACGCTGGCCTGAATGACACCTAAGCTGACTAGGTGGGCTGTTGAAATTGACCAGTATGATTTTGAGCTAAAGTCAGTAAAGGGGAAGTATAATGTTGTTGCTGATGCTTTAAGTCGAAGATCTGACTTCTTCGGTGCTATTGTAACATATCTAGATATGGGCACCGATTTACAAGAGAAGATTAAAAGTGCGTATTCCACAGATCCTGTTTACGACGCTATGATTAAGCGTATACAAGAAGCGCCTCAAGAGTTTCTTGACTATCGTATTACCCAAGGACTGTTATTTGAAAGAACGGATGTACATGATAGGCTTTGTATTCCTAATAAGGAGGAGATCAAAAATCTGATCTTGGGGGAGTGCCATGACACTGAAGGCCATTTCGGGTGGAAAAAGACTTATGCAAGTCTGTTACGCTCTTACACCTGGCCTCACATGAAACCCGATTGCATTGCATATGTGCAGGGTTGTCAAGTGTGCCAACGAAATAAGAGCACCACTCAGCCTCCCCTCGGTCTGTTGAAGCCTTTGCCAATTCCAACCGGTCCAGGAGACTCTGTGTCCATTGACTTTATGGACACTAAGGTAAAAAGCACGAATGGAAAGACGCAAGTTATGGTCATCATTGATAGGTTTAGTAAGTATGCTGTCTTCGTAGCATTACCAGCGGAAGCAAAGACAGAATTGGTAATCCGGGAATTCTTTAACCATTGGGTGAAGGATTATGGACATCCCTTAACGATTGTAAGTGACAGAGATTCGCGGTTCACAAGTGAATAATGGCAGCAACTGATGAACGTCTATGGCTCTAAGGTGACTATGTCAGACACCGTGAGACAAACGGCCAGACTGAGCAAATGAACAAGATTTTGCAGCAAACGTTGCGTATGTACATACGTCCCGACCAGATTGACTGGGACGAACATTTGCCCAAAGTTGCTAGTGCCTATAACAACTTTGTTCACCTGTCTACATGCAAGACTCCGATGGAGCTGCATTTGGGATGGCGCCCGCGTAGACCTGTTGATCGCCTGAATCCGGATCAAGTATATAAGCTTCCACTAGGAACAAGCGAGTTTGCGATACAGTATCAGAAAGATATTGAGAAGGTGAAGGAAAACATAGTAAAGGCACAACATCAGATGATAGAACAAGCAAATAAGCACAAAAGACCTTCTCAATTTGCTGTAGGTGATCTGGTATGGGTTAAATCTAAAGAGTTCGTTCCTGAGGAGAACATATCCCAGAAACTGTTACCAGCCTACAGAGGACCTTGGCAAGTTCTAGATGTGATTGGAGATGTGGATGGACCTTCTTATGTGATTGAAATTCCTCTGCATTTGCATACATATCCAGTTTTTCACGCTTCAAAGTTCTTACCTTGCGTGACAAATGAGTTATTTCCCAGTCGCAGATCAACGATACCTCCTGGTATGGATGGGAAATATGATGTGGACAAGATTGTTGCCGAAAGCACTCTTCAAACTGGACGTAGAGGCAGACCCCAACGACAATATAAAGTAAGATTTGCATATCAGAACCCAAGTGAAGATCGCTGGTTCACAAGAGAAGAATTAATTGAGTCTGCGCCTCATATTGTATCTGTTTATGAAAGAGCAAGAAGAGGAATAAACATAATAGACAAATGAAGGTTTTTCTCGGAGGACTTCGAAATTAGGCCGGCGAGAGTAAAGGGCCTTTCACTTGATTCAGACCCTGAATGACAAATGCAGCATAGTGGGGTCACTCGGCCAGAGCCCAACTCGTGAAAAGCAGATTAAAAGGCATGCTCGCTGGGTCAAAAGTCACATCCTAGCTACAACAAAAGTCATGTCAAAGGTCACGGTTGTGCCCCTGGACGAACAGTTGCAGTATTCAATTGTGGGAGACACATTTGTTCATCCAGGGGGTGTGCAAGTCATATCTGTTCAAGCAGGAGATGTGTCTGTTCGTGCAGTGCATGTGTCTGTTCGAGCAGTAGGTGTGTCTGTTCGGACTGAAGTTGTGTCTATTCGGAGGGAAGTCAAAGATCAGGTCCCAGTCCAGTCAAAGTCTAACATGAGGTTTAGGTTCAGACCCCAAGTCCGAAATTTAGGCCTGAAGGCCGCAGCAGCAGCAGACCCTAAGGAAAAGGTACTGGGACACACACTGCAGAGGTCTGGGACAGGGAAGACCCAAGTGTGCCAATGCAGACCTCACGAAGGGAGGCCAGCAGTATAAGAAACCAAGCCAGCCTCCCCACAAGACAGATTCCCCATGGGCATTGATGCGTGGAAGTGTTGAGGCACTTATGCGCTATAGCGCAGGGAGGAGCGCTGGCTGAAAGAGAGTTGCGCCA